CCCATGCTGTGAAGAGCCGAGTTTATCTGGGCAGCGCTTAATTGGCCGGGCGCCGCGATCATGGGCAACAGCGGATGTGTGATCGGGGTAAATATCTTGTTCATGGTCCTGGTCAATTGTCCTGTGGGCCCCATGTTCAGGCCGGAGAACGGGGGGTGTGGGTACTTGGTTTGGATGGTGGTCCGAAAGTATTCAAGCTCCATGTTCTCTTGCATCGAATTTACTAAGACGTACATCTTGACAATGTCTCCGTACACCGCTCCTCGCTCAAACAGGGTCTGTGTCTCAGGCGCAGTCCACTTGAAATTTCCAGAAAAATCATGGAAGGCGGAGATGATTTTGCTGCAGCCCTTTTTCTCGGATAATTTCCGGCGGATCTCCTCGGGAAGCCATAATTCGACGTCAATGTACTCGCAGCCCCACTGTATGGCGCGGGAAAGGTATTTGTAGAACAGGTTGGGGTCATCCATAGGGAAGCGGCCGTTCTCTTTCGTACACCTCGTTGTGTAAATAATCGGCAGCTCTGTCCGCTGCCGTAGGATCATTACTTGTTCGCCAACGTACTTTAAGCTCGGTATCTTGCTCACGCTCCCGTCCGGCAGGGGCTCTTCTAAGAGGTCCACTCTGATCTCTAATGCGTCTGCGCCCACTGACAGAATATCAAGGTTTGGCAGCGCAGCGTGAACATCGGGAAAAGTCGTAGATATCAACGTGGTGCGTGCCTTCTTCGCCAGGTCTCGATGAGGGCTGATCTGTCCCAATATCAAGGACAAGAAACGCGCCACGTCTCTGCGAAAGAAGGTCGACACGGTGTACAAGTATTCATAGTCGCAGCTCTCCGTGATGTTGTCAATGCGCGGGTGTGGCCCGTCGACGCAGTGGGTGTTGATCAGTATCCGCGAGCCATTCCAGCTGCCCGCCTGCGACATGAGCAAGTCGTTCCGGAGGCCGTAGACGGTTGATCTGGGGCCTGCGCTCACTTCGTCCAGGGACGCCGCCGACTCCCACGCCTGTCCCAGCACGTCCGCAAAGACGCCGACGATTTCATCTTCTCCTTCGCCATGCAGCAGCAGCAGGGCCGGCTTCTCAGCGCTGGGTATCTCTTGGACCTCTATTGAGCCAACGCCTTTGAGCTGCGAGGTGGTTACGCTCTCGGCTTGTATCATGGTCGCCATCCAAGGCGGTGGCTTGGTGTTGGAGTGGTTTGCGCGCGCGCGGTCTTAGCCGTAGACGTTGAAGCCGTTGATGCGGAGCTGGATCTCGGCGAGGATGCGACGGGAGGAGTTCAGGTGGCAGCAGTCGCGGAGAGTCCCTACCATCTCCGAATGCGCGCGAGGACCGGGGCTGGTGTGGGTATCCAGTGTCAACTGGGGGGAGACTTGCGCGTCGTCAGGCCGCTGAGGAGGACAGGGTCGACCAGTGGGCAGGATATAAAACGAAACGCGATCTTGATCGACGTATAGAGGATGGTTGCGATAGCGAGGCAGTACTGGGTTCTGCCATACGGAAAGCTCACAAACTGCCGCACAATCCCGCGCGGTTCTCTTGTTCAGAGACGTCGTATGGCTGGACTCTGAATATGCCGTCCGGACGGCCGCCAAGGCACGCATCTCGGGCAGTTGTGCAATGCGGGCGGGACCAAGCTGCCCCAGAAAACTGGGGTGTGCGAATTTATCCGGGGCGCCGCAATCAATTTCGCACCAATGAGGGCGGCGGCGATTTGCCCACCAAGCGGAGACGGCCATCCGCGCTCGAGCGCAGTGCCATCGCCGTCGCCGCCAGCACGCTCTGGAGCGGGCAGTGAGCCTGCGCGGGGCCTGGATTGGTGGACATATGGCGGAGAGGTATCGCGCTGTAGTTTCTGTTACCTGAGACACACGCTGAGGTATCAGAACAAGCGACCTGAGGCATTTGGCCCTCGGCACGATCCGCACGAACCGCAGCAGGAGCAGCAGTGGTGCCGACGTCGACGGGCTCGCTCAGTGTGGCAGAATGGGAAATAGATCGGGGACCGCCAGGATGGCCTCAGGGATGATGGCGATGTCGGGTTCGATTGAGTGTGTTCGCCGTCTGCTAGCAGCGGACGCTGGCAGATTAGAGCCTCACAGCCGAAGCTTCTTTCGAGCGCCGTGTGTGGTGCCTCAGCCCTATCCCAGGTCTTGGCGGCCGCCTTTGGCAAGAGCCATTGACGCGAGCCACCCTGCGGGGACCGCATTCACCCCCTCCACCCGCTTTTCTCTACCTCTCTCACCGCACCCGTTGCTCCAGCCACCGCCTGCTGGCGCGTCGACCTCGCTGGCCTCGCTGGCCTCGCTGCAATGGCGCTGAACGACGCCCTTGGCAGCGTGGTGCAATGCCTAATCGCCATTTAACCGGCAGTACCCACCACGAGGCTGTAGATGAAGTTGATTGTATCTCTTCTACCCTGACATTTTCCAGGAGAAATTCAACGACGCCGTCCCACCGGCTGCTTTTCGCGGGATACTCGTTCTTGATGGCAGTTCCCACTTTGATCTTTCGCTTTCATCTCGGCGGGAAGGAGCCACATGGCGACGTCGCTAAGCCTACGCGCGTATCAGCTCTTGGAAAAACTTGCGCTGCAGTCTGCTGTATCCACGAGTAGCTTACCTTATCGTTATCGGAGTCTGCCTTGCACGCTCGTCGAAGGATGAGGTGGCTTTTCGAGATTCTCCGTCTACTCTGTCTGACACCAAGTGCACGGCAAGCGTTTCACTACCAGATAATCACGTCATCTCAACAATCTACAACTTCACATTTCCCCGTCTCGCCACGCGATTCCAGCAGATGAGCAATCAAAATCGCCATAGGTTGCATCTAGACCGGTTCTGTGGCTCGGCACGTCGTCTAGTCGCTCAAAGCTTCGATACTGATCTGATGTCACGTCGCGTTCCCTTACAGGAGTCTCTTGATACATTGAAAGAAGTGCCGTGTGCCGTTCTTGTCTCCAGTGTCTGTATCAATGTCTATGCAGGTCGAGCTATCATCTATCTTCACTTTATATGCAAGTCAACTGCTGCGGAGCTACATGATGTTGGCCTTCCCTCCGGAAGCATCGACTACGCTTCCACTGATCCACTACACATAGTCAGCAACGAGGTCACTAGTATCGATTCTCAGCTCACTCTCGCTTTCTCACTGACGAGCATGCCCACCACCCCCGCGATATCTTCAACTTCACCGATACGATTGCCTACAGCCACTTCCGCTGCGTCGGATGCGGTGAGCTTGTCTCGAACCTCGGCTGGTATTCTGTGATATGCCTCTGTTTTGGTGAAGCCAACGCTCACCGAGTTGAACGTCGTGCCTTCCATGCCAGGCCGGTTGCCGAGCTCATCAGCCCATTTTCTACAAGCCATCAGATTATGGAGGCAAAAGCCATCTCATGTCTAGCAAAAGAGAGTGCATGCGACGAAATCTTCCTCCGAGCCATGCCATACCGGTGTGGAAACAGCAGACCGTGACGGTACTATCTATACTCAACGAGATTACGAGCTTACCTCATCAAGCATTCGAGTGCAGCCTTGGTTGCCGCATATATTGCACTACACCATCGCCATCAGCCCAAGCTGCGCCACACCTACCTCAATGTCACCGTTTCGTTGGAAAACTCACCCTCCAGCAGGTCTTTTCGCCCTCACGCCTTCGCTACTAATCGCAATCACCCTCCCATCTTTCCTAAAAACATTTTCCCTCAGAAATTGCTCTACCAACATCACCGGAAACCTAATGTTTCCGTCCATCGCCAAGTCCACAACGTTATCTCTAATCTTCCCTTCTCCCATCTTCGCGAGCGTCATAACCGCAGCATTGAAGATAACGATGTCGATCTTTTCGTTGAATTGCGTAGTGAGAACATGCAGGATTGGAACGGTGGCGCCAGACGAGCTAGGAAGAGTGATGTTGGCATTGACACCTACTAACTTAGGAGCTGAGGCGGGGGCCACAGAATACAGCGAGGTGATAGTTTGCGCTAGGGTGTCAAACAGGTGTTTAGATTCCTCGGATGAATATGTGCCTATGATCGAAGCGCCGCGGGTTGCGAGTTCGATGCAGATGGCGCGACCGATGCCTTTGGTCGCTCCACTGTTGTAAATGTTAGACTATGTTCATTAGGTATCGCATAGCACACTGCAGGTTCATCTAGGGTAAATTCAACAGACATACGCACGTTACCAATGCGACTTTGCCTTTCAAGTCTTGTTCTTGCAGCCTGTGGGGCTGTGTAGGCAAAGGTGGGTCAAGCGTAGACATGATAATTATTCTGTGTGTAGCTTTTTAGTCCTACTGAGAATGTGAACAATACCGAGTCAGATGGCTGCATTCATGGAGAGGGTAGATCAAGATCTGAAGTACCGTTCGGGTCGGTGCTTCCGTAGGTCGCAAGATGTCGTGCCCCTCAATGTTCATCGTTGGCCCCACATATGCGGACCCCACCAGCATGAGCTTGAGGAGTACTTGCACGATTGATGTCGTGCGAAGCAACAGCGTCCTGTGTCTCAGAGGGTTTCAGTGCGTGTGTGTTTCTGCTTTTTCTCCCGTGTTAGCTGTGTTGTCGGCCAACGCATCTGTCAGAGCTTCAAATAGTTACCATGGGTAGGAATAACATGCACTTGATGGTTCTGGAACAGTCAATTAAATGAGTGAACCCAGCCAAGAAATAGTTTCGATATTGTAGCTAGAATATAAGCAACGTTCGTTGAGACAAATGATGTGTATCCTGAACACTGTGGTTCGTGGTTTCGGATATATCTCGGTCTAGTTAAGCCACATTTACAGATCTTTGGTTCCCACAGGCTGGGAAACATTAGTGACGTGTCTCGCTACCCCTCACCTCTCTCGGCCGCTTGCCGAGAAATACACGTCAGCAGGTTAGTATGCCAAAGAGCTTTTCTCGCTTGTAATGATTGTGCTTTTTGTATATTAATTTTTTATTTTTCAAAAATTGCTATCTTCGTGTTTTCTTTCACAGAGACTTGCGCGCTCCTGTGGCGCAATGGTAGCGCGTTGGACTTCTATGAGAAGTGCATCCAAAGGCTGTGGGTTCGAGCCCCACCAGGAGTGTTTTATGATTGATTTTTTATGCCCAAATACATGTACGTTTGTGTCGGTTCGATTTTTGATCATTTTAGAGTCAAGGGTGATGATATGTATATGTAGCAGGGTGACGAACACTCAAGATAGGTGCTGGGGGCTACGAGAAATCGTCACAAAGAATATTATGTATTTGCATTTATCCAACAAGTGCCATTCTTATCTTGATTGATTATTTGTGGCTTCCTCCTCGCTCCAAGATGTACTACAATCCATCCCATACTCGCACGAGAATACAGAAAAAGCCATTTACTAGTAACATAGGAGGCACAATTCTCAATATCATGGATTTATCACGATTCGGCACCAAAAACTTGTTCTACAAGAAAAACATTCGACAAGATAGCCCATAATACAAAAGTCAAGGCGTCCCCAGGTGCTAGTCTCGCTTTTTGCTAAAGCTCACGACACCTTCACACTCCAAACGTGCTACGACGGCGTACGACTACAAAGCAACGCACTCATCCTCGCGCAACTATACTGTTCGTCGTGCAAGGACAGAACAGCCATTTCAAGTTTAGTAGCATATTTGAAAGCTTATGGCTCTGTACATTTACCGTAGATAATGCGTTCACTAGCAAGTAGTAAAAAAGGCACTTCTACTTATATTTAGGGTGGGATGACAACTAGTATTAACATGCATGACATGGTTGCTCTCTGTAAGGTCATATTCCTTGCAAGCCGTCGTCGCGCATTCCTTACCTTCGATTTTATCCCACCGATGTCGAAGTAGATGGCACTCTAGAACGCAGGCTCCTGCGCTAGCGCGAAAGTTGCGGCGCGACAGGTCATTTGAACAACCATGCAATAGGTGGATCGAGAAGATCCGCTAGATATTGGTCGGAAATCCGTCGACATGTCATGACGTTTGAGAAGACTACCATGAGGAGATATACCCCGCGCCAAGGGACTTTCGGAGTAAGCCGAGGCAGGCATGTTGAAGGTCGAGTCAATCACCCCTGTAATGGACCAGGTCAAGGACTACGGAAAGAAGTTTGTTTTCTTCAATAACGCAGCATTTAAGACGAAAGAAAATTTATATTCGAGTAGAGCTAAAGCCCTTCTACGGTACTAATAAATTCCGCAAATAGGATGAGACACCACATTGGATGGGTATTGACTAGGTCAGATTGTCGCTAGACTTACTGCACATCTCGCATCTCTCCTAACTCGAAGTCAAGAACAGTGAAGCACGTATTAGGTTCGATCAATGAACCATGAGCCTTACTATGATCTGCACACAACGAAATCCTCCTCACACCGCCGTGATTTAGGTAGAAAGAATCATATGGCAAGCCGCATAATTCCATACAAGCTCCAACAACACAGTTCCCACCAACACTTTCCTACGCCCGCTCTCCCAGCTCCTCCCTCGCTTCCACTGCCCCATTAATCTTATAACCCTTGAACGTACGACTCCCGATTCCTCTCCCAAACATGATGTCTAGCTCCTCAAACGTCCGACCCTTCGTCTCCGGTAAACAAAAGAAACAATACACCGCGCAAAGCGCACTAAGTCCGGCAAACAAGAATCCCAGCTTGCCCCTCCAATTTCCCTGGTCCTCGTTGAGCGCATACGGGATCGCGACGGAAAAAAATGATAGATACAATATGACATGTAACAGTCGCCAACGCGATTGTCATACCACGCAACTTGGCGGAAGATACTTCAGCTAGCAGGATGAAGCAGAATGGTCCGATTGTGATATCATATAGTAAGTTGCAGATGAGCATGAGCGAGCATTGCGCCCACACGGGTGCGTGGCTCGACCTAGGTGCGAGATCGATGGCACCGATAAGGAAGAGCAACACAGCGAGACCAGCACAGCCCCAGAAGTAGGCAGTTCGGCGACCAATGTAGGAGGCTAACGGCCACGAAAGACACGTTCCCACGAAGCCGATAGCCGTCAATCCGATGTTCATGGAAAAAGCATTCGATGCATCGAGTCCAGCAAGCTCGAAGAAGTAGACGGAATAATCAATGAAGAGGATGTTACCTGTGAATGCTTGCATGTCGTAAGCCATGACGCTGATTATGAGGCGGCGTAGGTTAGGGCCACGGAAGCAGTCGAGTATCGTGGGACGCTGTTTCTCGTTGTAAGATGTCTCGAGGTGCAGGGTCTCCTTGATGTGTGCGAGCTTCAGCGATGGATCGACCTCAGGTGTGGCTAGGCGGCGTAGAGATTTCTCGGCTGCCTCGTATCTGCCTTTCTTGCATAGCCAATACGGTGGATCCGGGCAAAAGAAGATAATAGAGAGCATGATGGCGGGTAGTGCCCATTGCGTCGCGATGGGTATCTTGTATGAGTATTTGTTGTCGATACTATTTGTTCCCTTGAGGATCCCGGATGCGATGAATTGCCCAATAACGAACGCGAGATTGGTCATAGAAGCGGCAAAGCCACGGAGCGCGAGTGGGACAACCTCGCCGATGTATGCTGAAGCGCAGATAGGGTAGAAAGCAATGATGCATCCATTGATAAGCTGGCCAGCAAATAACTGACCGGGTGTGTGTGCGAAAAACTGTAGGAAGATGAATGCGACTGACATGCTTGAGCAGCAAGCCATCATGCGACGCGGTCCGAGCTTATCATATGCGTGGCCCGATGCAAGAGCACCAACGATAGCTCCAAGCTTGTTGGCGTAATTGAAGGCACTGACCCAGTGTGCCTCTACGATGTAGGACCCGTTGAACTTGTACCCATAGTCTCTTTTAAAAGGATCTAGACCAATGAGACTACCAACGATCCCACCATCCATGCCTTCATGAAATTATCAGTAGCTGCAGTACGCATCAGAGCTTGAAAGACCTACCTTTCAATACCGTAGCTAAGTTTATAAAGAGACCCCAGAAGATAGCTGGCCAGTGAAGCTTAGCCGCCTGCCAGAAACCGAGTGCATGCTCGATCTCGGTGAACTGTAGTGATTTTTCAGCCTCTTCAGCCGTAGCTGACCCGGCTCTCACAGACGGTGTCATTTGCTTCATGAGCTCGTCCTGAATTTTAATGACTTCTTTGGGGTCTGCCATATTAGAACTGAGAAGTCGAAAGCACGGAGCAGCAAGCAAGTGTATCAAGCCTCAAATGATGCGAATGAAGCATTGGAGACGATCTTCCTGAGATAAATACAACTCGAGAACACCAAGAAACCATGTTATCTCCAGTAGCGAGCTTTCTCGGCAGATAATACCCTTAAGCTATCTCCAAGAGGTGAACAGTCCAAACACCCGACCCGAGATACACAAGTCAATGGAACGATGATGGGCTCTGCTGATAAACACTACCCCAGAGTCCCTCAACGATCTAAACCATGGTCGGTAGATTTAACAGTCAGGATGAGATATGCTAACTTCATGGAGTTTAACATGGGTCTCGTGCATGGAGTCGTGCGTTATCAAGGGTGGGGCACCTCTAAGCGGATATCCCCGCACGCTACTCTGAGAACTCATAGGATTTATTTGCATTACTATCGAAGTTATAGGTCCGCCAGGAAAACGGAAAAGCGAAACCAATCCAAGATCTGATAGGAGCTGTTCACATTGCTACTATAAGTATAGTGCCGCAAAGGAAGCGGATAAAGCGCAAAAAAATTCCAGGCTTGATTGAAAGAGCACAACAAGTATCTCGTCCAGCTATCACAAGCCTAGTGCACCTCCTCTTCGAGTTTTGTGCCATACCATACAACGATTTGTTACCATGAATGCTCCTACTCCAAAGCCCGAGGTCACCTTAATCGAGCTGACACCAGAGGAACTAGAGAGCAAGCGAATCGGATCGCACAATCTACAAGCCGCAGTCGAAGCCCTACACCGAGATGGAATCGTTGTTTTGAATAATGCTGTATCTACTGAGCATCTCGACAAATTGAATGCGCGGATGGTGCCTGAGGCAAAAAAATTGTATGCAAAAGCATCGACACATCGCAACTTCGGTGAAGCCACCGGAAACATCCAACAAGAGCCGGTATCAGAACCTGAATACATCTTCGAAGACGTCATTGCGAACCCATGGGCAACGACTGTGATTGAGGCTATGTTCGGACCTAACCCGACGCTACGATTTTATAGTGCAAACACCGCCTTCAAAGCCACGTCAAGGCAACCCCCGCATATCGACATCAACTTCGATTTTCCTAAAATTCCATTCGGGTACTGTGTGAACATCAACTTAGTTGACACTTCGCCTGAAAATGGCGCAACCGAGGTGTGGCTAGGTAGTCATGTAGATACCGACGTCAATGTCCTCGATCCCTCTGTCAAGCATAAACAGATCCGTGCGGAGCTCCAGCATGAGCGACGCAGAATAAGTCCGCCCATCCAGCCCAGCCTTCCCAAGGGTTCACTTATCATTCGTGATTTTCGGCTTTGGCATGCGGGTATGCCGAATAAGACGGAGGAACCGAGGGTCATGCTTGTCAGTATCCAGTTTCCGAACTGGTACCGGAGTGAGCAGAAGATTCAGCTTCCAAAAAGCGTCGAGGGAAAGATAATGTGGGGTCACCTGATTCCATGTGTTAATTGGCAGGAAAATGGATATGATTATCTGAAAGGGTCTCACGATCTTGACTTCTCTCTCAAGCCTTGATTAGACCCAGTTTTAGGTGCTATGAGCTCTCGAGCATAAATATGGTTGGGGTACAATTATCTAGGATATGACACGTCGTACTTTATATGAATTCCGATATCATTAACGGTGTTCCTTGGACGCTTTATAATAGACTCTCATGATATCTCGCTAAAGCTCTTCTATCAAGATGAGGGAGAATGATCTAAGATCACTAATACCTGTGAATGACCTCCCGAAATTTGGGCAGTCGGATAGCTAACCAGTTAATCCGACTATCTAACGTTACTAGTGCTAGCATTCATATTTGTGTATGCTCTTAGTAATTTCGTAGTCGCCTTGTACGCTGTATATGCCGCTACCACCGAGCTTTCCAGGCAGTGAGTGGCTTGCATTTGAGAAGCACAA